CGGGCCTTGGGTGCAAATCCCCCTCCCCTGCCCGGCAGCTCTTTGTTCTCCAGCAGAGCCTTGGCTTGCAGGTGGACTCAGGGCAGCCACTTGACCCTGGCTCCAAGGGCTCCATGCTGAGCAGTAATGTCACAGGAGACATCGTTCCCCTAAGGAGCAGTGCATGTCACTGCTGCAAAAGGAGGGGACAGGTGACAGGTCCCCCCCCCAGTGCCACCTTTGTGCACCCAGGGGTCCTTCTGTCTGTGATTAGAGACAGGGATGGAGGAGATGTGGGGAGGGGACCTCATCCCACAGTGCACTGGGGTAACTGCTCCTGGCTGCTGCCCTGGGGTGACAGGGTCTGGGCAGGAGCTGCCAGGGGTCCCTGCTCCCAGCATGGGGTACTTCTGAGGTCTGCGGGGTGAGGTGGGGGGTTTGCTCTTCCCACCTGGGGTGCAGAGCAGAGGGGAAAGTGTCACAGTCCCCATGCAGCCAGCACGGAGGTGACACGAGGGGCGAGGCAGAGCAAGGAGTGGTACCCATCAAGGACTTACAGTTCACAAGGCTCAGCTTGTCGTTGACGAGTCCCAGGGCGACGTCAACCACGGGGCAGAGCTGCAAGAGTCAGGGAGGGACAGTGAGTTCAGAGCCGGCCGAGGACGCGCAGCCCAGCACGGCTCCTGGGGACGGGAGCACCAGGCGAGTGGGGTCACAGTCCCCACTGCTGAGGCTGCACCAGTTCTGGATCCAGCCCTGGACACCTCACCCTTCACTGGAGAAGCGGGGTGAGGACAGGGTCCCAGAGTCCATATGGGATGGCTGGGAAGACTCTGGGGCTTTCAGGAGGGAGGAGAAATGCAATCAGCCCATAACAGGGTCCAGGGCATCCTTAGAAACTCCCAGGCGCTTGGGCAGCCCTGCGCTGGGCTCGCTGGCCTCGCATTTGGGAGGAGGGAGCAGCTTCTCCAAGCAGATGGAGACTGTGTGTGTCCCCCACGGATCCCAAAGCACCGGGCAGGCGGGTGGATGTGGCAGCCCCGGGACAGTGGCCACGGTCCCGCACCGGGACAGGAGTGATGCCACGGGGAGCTGCACTGCAGCTTTGCAGACTCTTTGCTCCTTTCTGGGGTGGAGTTTTTTCCCGACTTACCAGATTAGGAAGAAGTCTGTTCAGAACCCTCGCCAGTAAATTATCCACAATTGGGAGCAGGCTGTGGAAAAATAAAGGAGCACCATGAAAAAAAACCTGCTGCAAAGTAAATGGGTCTTGTTAAACAATTCCCTGTGAATAGCACGGAACACAGACCACCCAGAGCAAGGCAATTACAGCAGCAAAGTGCCTGTGTGCGCTTGGATTTGGCATGAGATAAGTGTGATTTGCATCCCAAAACAGCCAGGGGGAAATTTATTGCTGCCTTTTATCTCCCAGTGTATGGTCTCCTGAAATGAGCAGAAACAGCCTCGGCCCCAGTGGTTTTGCTGATTTGTACACCATTTGCACACCATGGCCTTACAACCCAGAACACCCCATGCAGTCTCAGCTGAAGTGACCCGTGGATGTGGCACATGGGACACAGATGTCCCTCCAGCACTGCTGTGGGGCCGGGCAGCCCTCTGGGATGATGTGTCCCTTCACTGTGGCTGCGTGAGGGGCACACAGGGACTGCCATCGCCAGCAGCCTTTGCTAGGCCCCATGACATGGCTGGTGAGTGACCATCACCTGCAGGGACAGTGGCTGCCGGTGTCGCAGTCACCCGTGGGACAGAGACGCGTGATGGGAAATGTCCTCTTGCCTTTGCCATCCCGTGGGCAGGGGCTGGCAAAGCCGGGTGGTGAGGGGACTGATGCTGGCAGAGAAGGACATCTCCGTCACTCACCCTCTCAGGAGTCTGACTTTAATGCCACCAAGGAGAGTATCACAGCTTTCTGTCACCAGCCTGGGACAGCTGGAGCCATCCATGGTCAGCCTGACCTTTGATGTGACGTTCACTTCCACTGCGATGTCCAGCAAACCCAGGAGGCTGTGTGAGGAGAAAAGTGACCTTCAGAGGAGCAGCCGCTTCCTGGTGAACAGGAGCAGTGTCGCCCTTGGAGACACCACCTCCAGCAGGTCCAGGGGCACGGCTGGCACTGCCACGAGCACCAGCCCGACCTACCACTTGGCATTGAGGGCCACCCGGGTGTAGAGGTTGAGGTGGATGAAAAAAACCGCAGGGAGACTCTGGGCAGCGTCAGCTCCACGATCTTCAGCCTGCAGGGACAGTGTGGGGACACCACGGGTGGTGGCTCTGAGCTCAGCAACCTGCCACCCCGGCACTGCCACTCACATAAAGCCACTGCTCAAGGGATGGGCGAGTCAGAGGCCATTTAGACCAGAAATGGCAGAAGACACCGTTTTCTCAGTTATTTTCCTATTTTAGTTATTTCCCAGTTTCATCAACGATCTTCAGCCTGCAGGGACAGTGTGGGGACACCACGGGTGGTGGCTCTGAGCTCAGCAACCTGCCACCCCGGCACTGCCACTCACATAAAGCCACTGCTCAAGGGATGGGCGAGTCAGAGGCCATTTAGACCAGAAATGGCAGAAGACACCGTTTTCTCAGTTATTTTCCTATTTTAGTTATTTCCCAGTTTCATCAGAGGCTTTGTTCCAGTTGCCTTATTATTGCTGGTGCTTGTGCTCGGTGCTGGGCTTCAGATAAGAGGTGGAATGGGACAGTTGCAAACAAGTACCCCTGCCTTGGCACCAGTGGCCCCACCACCCAGGGCCACCGCGCGGGTCAGTGCACCCTCTACGGGCAAGAACCCTCCAGCTGCTGTTTCCTTTAACTTTCCTTGTGCAGCTCAAGAGGCTCTTTTGCAGCCAACGATGCAAACCCGGCAGGACTTCCAGGCAGCAAGTATCTCAAAGCATCAACTCCAGACCAGATCTGAGCAGCTACTGAAGCATCACCATTGATCCCCACAAGCAGCTCTGAGGTTCCCCCCCTGCAAGGAGCCCGGTCAGTGCTGTCCTTACCCAGTGAGCCCCTGGACGGTGCTGAGCAGGCCACCTTCTCCGAGGACACCGAGGACACCGCCTCCCAGCAGCCCTCCATTGCCCAGGAGCCCTCCTCTGCCAAGAAGGCCACCAGAGCCACCAAGGATCCCCGTTGTGCCGAGGAGACCTCCGTCACCAAGCAGACCTCCTTGTCCCAGTGCTCCTCCAACAACCCCTGTGGGAATGCCATCCCTGGGGACATCGCCACCAGCTGCTGGCCAGCCTCTGGGAGGGTTTCTAGGTCCCTTTCCATAAGTGTCTCCATCGCCCCCTCCACCCAGCAAGTCAATGCCAGCATCGTTCCCTCCACCAAGCAGACCACCAGTCAGCCCCCCCAGCAGCCCTCCACCACCATCACCCAGCAGGCCACCAGTAATACCACCGAGCAGACCACCACCACCACCGCCACCAAGGACACCTCCGAGGAGGCCACCCAACAGGTCTCCACTTCCATCCGTGCTGGGACGTCCACTCCCGAGTGGCACCTCTCCGAGGGCACCTTGGAGGACGTTGTCTTGCCTGAGCGATCCTGCAAGAGCTGGAAACACCACCTGTCATCAGCCCATGGGCTGCAGCCTTCGAGCAGGGACGGGCAGGCAGCTGCCAGCCCCCGCCCCCCCCAAAAGCTCCTCAGGCGTGGGCTGTCAGTGGTTTGTGCTCTCCACGCCCATCGTTGCCCATCCCCGTCCCTCATGACCTGCTCTCAGTTTTTCCCATATGTGATACAACAGAAAAAGGGCTTTGGGATCTCAGACGTGGGGCACCTGGTTGAGATCGGTGCAAAGCCCAGGTTCACTTTGGAGGGGAGGTTTGCCCGCAAGCGTCGTGCTCTTCCCCTTCCACATGCAATTCTCCTCCCATCCCTGGCTGATCAGGCTGTGCTCGTACCACAGTGTCAGCCCCCAAGGGCCACCATTGATTCCGATCCCCAGGGTCCCACTATGAGGAGGGGGAGGTGACTCACCGTTGCTTAAAACGCCTTTGTTGAGCCTGAGGACGGCATCTTTGTGCTGGCTTAGTGACGGGGACAGCAGGGCGTACAAGAGGGCGATGGCCAGAGCCGGTGGCATAGCGTCTTCTGCTCTGCCAGGAGAGCCGTGGGTGCTGGGGAAGAACAGGAGAGTGGGAATAGGCGGGATGACCCCCTGGAGATGAAGGGGAGGCAGATATTTTGAGATGGGTGAGAAGTTTTCAGTGAATAGAAAACATGAGCTTTAGGAGAACCAAACTGATTCACGTGCAGCAAATAGATCTGGTGACACACCAAGGGGTGAAGGGGGTGTCTGTACGGACATCCGCGGGGAATTTTTCAAGCTGACTTCTGCACAAGCCCAGCACCTGTTTGCTTATTCCTGTTTCTGGGCACCCCGGGCATCCTGCTCCTTTCCATCCCTGGTCACCATGACATGATTTTAAACTTGCAGCATGAAATCATTACTCATAAGCTATAGACTGCGCTGAGCTCCCCTCGCTAAGAACCGCCCTGTAAACGGGGATGCAAATTAATGCTGCAGTTACACAGGCAACTCACATTTGGAATAAAGCCTTTCTTTTTAAAATGGCATGTTTTAACCTTGGAACAATAAAAATAATAATAACCACCTTAAGAGGATATTGCAACACAAAAATTCCCTGACTTCTGTGTCAAATTAATGGGTTTTTTTTCAGAGAAATGTTTTCCTTTTCCTATAGCGACCTTCCTTTGTGATTTTTTTCAGACTAGTCACTAACAATAAACCCAGATCACTCACCTGCATTTCTACCATTATTGGTGTTTTTCCCCACGTTTTTCCTTGCAGGGCTTGTAGGTGAGATGGTGGCTCCGTGCCCCCAGGCTTACAATGCCCCAAACACTATTTTGACCATATTTACCCGGCCTTACCCCAAATTTCAGAGCCTGGCTGTGGTCTTCAGTGCTGAGCTCTTGGTCGAGGGGAGACCTCACTGCTGTCCACAGGCACCTCTGCTTCAACCCGACGGAACAGTGGGGCCTTATATAGCCAAGCTGGTGCAGAAAAGGTGGAAAGGTGCCTAAACTGTAAAAGCTGGGCTAGTGGATCGAGTGGATAAAACAGCATTTGTGGTTTCAATATATTCCAAGATAAATAATAATTAGTAAACCAGGGAAGAGTATTGAGCAACGGGTTATCGGATCCCCGTTATCAGGCAGCACTGTTACCCAAGAGCCCAGAGCTAAAGCAGAGGAGAAGGAGCTCAAGACCATGGGCTGCAGCACGTGAGGCTGTTGCTGACCCTGAAGGAGCCACACTGGAAAATCAGCCTATTCCAGACAAATCCCGGGTGACACTTGCACAGGGACTGTCACACGCAGACTACTGCAGGGGGTTATTTTTTAAATTTCCAGCAAGTGTGTGGGGAGGCTCCAGAAAACCACCAGGAGATTTTTCTTTCCTTTATCAATTGACCTGAGGAGCAATTCCTGAGGATCATCCCACCCTTCCCCGCAGCCACCAGCTGCTTCCTGGCAGATGATATTTCCACAGCCTCAGGAAAGCCCCTGTGCGGTGGGACACGCTGATCTGTGTCAGCTCCAGACCATAATAAGGACACTTTTGTCCTGGTGTCCTCAACACTTAATACCTTTCAGAGATAAAATGCATTGTTAACACCCTGGTGTATCTTACACAATAAGGGGATAAGATGCTCCTAAAGAAGCGGTGTGAGATGGAAGCTCAGTTTATCTGTGCCTGGCTCTGTACCCAGCCTTGTGCAACCACCCCATCCAGGCTCCAGGCTGCAAACCAGCCCCTGGCAAGGAGCTGCCATGAGGGCTCAGGTGAGTGGGGAATGTCAGCAAGAGCTTCACCGAATCATCGTTGTGTTATGAGCACGTCCTCTGCCCCATCAGAGCAGCACCCAGCCGGGCTGGCACGGGCTGCACAGGGCACCCATCAGCACCAAACCCCAGCTCCTGCGTGAGCTGCTGCTTCACACCTTGTGCCACAGGCTGAGCTTCAAAAACTTGTGTAAGGAGCTGGCTTGTTGGCTGTAGGAGCTCAAGCTGCCCGTCCATGAGCCATATGGTTTAGGAGACAAATAGATGCTGGCAGCCAGAAACCCAGATCAAATAAATATTCAGAGAGAGAGAAATGCTGAGGCAGTGAAAGATTTTATTGAATGAGCGATACGAAAGCAACCTTTACATCTAAGAAAAAACTCTGCTACCCAAATACCAATCTTAAAACTGGCCCCAGAACCCCCCAGCACCCACCAGCCGAGCAGCTTCCCTGCCCCGATGCCAGGCTGCGCCAGGACCAGCGACCAGAGATGGTCGCCTGTCACCCTTGGACCACAGCACAGGGCAGAGCTCCAGGGAAAATGAAGATGGAAACAGGAGAGGAGCAGGGTCTGGGGCTCGCGGTGCGTTGCCTGTCTCAGACGGGGAGCAGGGACAAGGGTCCTCCAGAGCAGGATCCTTTTAGAGAGGTCTGGGCGGGAGAGTCGTCAGCCTGGGAGAAGCAGCACAAAACCCATTCAGTTTTCTCACTCAGACTTTCCCCAGCTTTTTCCTGTGTCCCAGCTGAGGTTTTCCTGTGGATCCACACAGGCAGAGGGACCTCCTGGAAACCCAGAGCTGCCTGTGGGAAACAGGGCCAGGCGGGGCGGCACAGGGCTCCGGGCTCCACAGGTCCCTCCCTGGGTGGGAGCATCCTTACATCAGTGATGTCAACCTGGGCGCTCCGCAGTCTGGTGTTGAGGATGTTGGGCAGAGGGACCAACAGGCGCAAGGCATCTGGAAAAGCCAGTGAGAGCATCTTGTCACGGGGGGAACCCTGAACACAGGCAGTGAGGGAAGGGGAAACCTCCAAACGGGCTGAGTTGGAGAGAAGAGGGGACCTGGACCCCCCGTACCATTAACGGTGGGAACATATGCAGCCACAAGGACTTGCTTGAGCCACCCTTCAAGCTGGGAGACCTGCAGGGGAAGAAGATGTGTGTCAGTGTCTGGAGAAGAGAGGAACAGTCGTGGGGATGAACCCAGCCGTGTTGGGCTTCTCAGTGAAGTTCTGTCACTGCAGGATGCTCGGAGCCATGAATTGCTGGGAAGTTTCCTTCAGGGGAACTCCCCCAGGACTGAGGGTGGGGGATGCGCAGGGACGTGCTCTTTGGGTAATTTCTTCTCAATTATCCCTGGCCCTTCCCAGCACCGTAGTGCGCTGCCAACAAGTGAACATGTCCATCCAGGTGTCACTGCCACGGGATCGACAGGACAGACAACAATTGGTGTCTGCCAAGGGAAGAGGAAACGTGGCAACTGAAGAAGAATTGGGTCTCCTCCCTGCACAGGGGCTCTGTCCCCGCGCTGCTCACCGCGGCACCGTGACCCCGAGCAGGGAGCACTTACGCTGTGAGGGTCGAGTCTCAGGGGTGGCCGTGTCAGGTTGATGCTACAAAAGAGAAAACCAAGGCAGAGTCGGAGTGCAGCAGGTGCAGCCCCCTCCTCCAGCTTTCCAAATGCTTCTCAGACCCTTTCCTGGTCTCACTCACATAAAGACAGAAGGATTTTGAAAATACAGCAACTTTTTTACAACTCTCTCATGACTTCAGATGTGCACATGGTCTGAGGTTGGGGCTGGGAGGAGGCAGGAAAGCTCCAGCAGCCCTTCACATCTCTACCACATTTCCACTGCACACCCTGGTTGGTGCCACCAGCCCCACCTTGTCGGGCTCCTGGGAGGGTCCCCAGGCAGAGCCCCCCCACCCGCAGCCACCCCAGAGCTCAGCTCTACCTGTCGAGAGCCAGGGAGGTTTGCAGTTGGCCATTGGAGACCGATGGGGTGATGTCCAGAACGACATCCTGAAATTCAAACAACAGAAGATATGAGGTTATTTCCCTGTGTAGCTCCCAGGACTGAAAAGAAAACCCAGAGTGTTTGTAAATAACCCGTTCTGAGAAAAACCACCTGTCTGTGCCTAGAAATGGCAGGTTTTGGACAGATGGCATCATGTATCTCTCTCCCCAGGGTTCACCCTTCTTGTCTTTATTTTGTTTTGTCCCTTAAACATTTCGGTTGTGCTTCACCATGAGCATTTTCAAAGGACTGGGCAGCACCATTTCGAAGATGCAGTAAATTCCGAAGTACAAGTACGAGCCAGCTAAGGGCGGGACAAGGCGAGGGGATGCCCAGGACAGCCCCACACTCACCCCTTGCCCCTCTTTGGAGGTCTCAGCCCACTCACCGTGTCGAGGGAGAAGAGGAGCTTCTGAGGGGACTGCAGGGTGGGGCTGAGGACATCGATGGTGGCTTTGAGGGTGACGGTGGCTCTTTTGCCCTTCACGGCCACCACAGGCTCATTTGCCACCTGCACACACAGCTCCAGCGGCAGAGAGGCGGGGACGACCCTGGCGAGCTGCACGGGGAGGGGGAGTCAGGGCAAGGGGGTCTTTTTGTGGCCGGGTGGGCAGTGGGGTTGGAGGGAGGTGGCTGACCTGGGGGATGAGCGGGAGGAGGGCAGACGTG